TAATTTATTGATGAATTAATTCACGATAAAATTAACAGCACCCGTTCTTAGAGTTTTCATATATGGTTTAAGAAATGTATCAAAGAAAAGCCCTAACGTTCCTTAAAGCCACGCTCAATTACAAAAGGTAACTAGGCCCTAAAATCTTAGATCGCTTGCTAACGATCGTGTTCCCTTTCGGGAATCCAGAATTAATGTGGCGGTAAATTTTCACAAACTCACCGAATAAAACAAAGAAAGGAACCTGGTTATATGGAAATGAGTTCTGAAATCATTCCAAACAGCATTATCTCGTTTATAAGTGCACAATTAACGCAAATTCTAAGCGTTTTGATCACGACGGGAAATCAGCGAAATGACGTCCTGAACTTGATGGGGAGAACGGCAACGCTAACACCGGAAGTCGAAATAGAGTCGTGTCCAGATTATCCGCGCGCTTTCCTGTTCTGAATTGACGTTCCCGTCCTCTTGCTAAACCACTCTAATATCTGAGAAACCGTAAATACATTTTGCACTTTATTTTTGTCGTCTAACGATTTGTAATTACTTTAATCATTTCAGATAATAAGAGAAAGCTTTCTCTTTCTTTGTCTTTAACGAGCTTGATTTTTGAAACGTGCAACTTAGATGTTATATTCTCCTTTCCAATGTTCTTTTTTATATCTCCTAACATCAAGGCTCTGAGACAAACCGGAAGTAGATCATGGCAACTCCGTGCATAAGCATGTATGGTAATGCTGCTTAAAAAAACAAAGCTTAGCACTGGTAGGACGATAGTTCCTGCTAAAATTGCTTCATTTAATGCTATGGATCCACAGATACAGCATGCAAGTTATTATTGGTCTGTTATTCACTCACTCGATTGTAGATAGCAATTGCTTAGAATTAAACATTGTAACTCGCATGTCTTTAACTACTTTAAGGCTTTGAGACTAAAACAGTGATATTGGAGATCCAGATAAACTCATCAGGATCCGAATTTGAGCTCCTTCTTTTTCAGAACGCGCATTAAAGGACAGCTCTAGGCAGACTTAGGGCACAACCGGTATCGTTTACATATGAGAAACTAATAATATGGCCACCTCAGCAGCTTCAGGTTATATTCGAGCAGGAATATTCTAAATATTATAGCAAAGAGATTAAATTCACCTGTGCAGCTTTGACCATTTCCACTAAATCCAGGGTAGCATTCACAAAGATAGGATCCGTTGGTGTTCGTGCAGGTTGCATTCACGTGACAAGAGTGATTTCCTTTACATTCGTCAATATCTGAGGAAACCACATATATATTTGCACTTCATCATGTTTGTCACTTTAAAAATGAGCGGACTCTCAGTCGAGTGATTAATTTGATAATCATACATAATAAAACAATTTTTTCTCTTTTTGTGTTCCACGAATTAGATATTTGAAACGTATATTTTATCACGAATATTTCTGTTTATCAAGCTATCGGCTCTGAAACAACTGGCTTGTTCCTGCTGCTCCCACAAAACGTACCATCCCTTGGGGGATAGGTCGTCACAAAACACTGGACCAAATTGCGGTTTAGCGTAACTACTCTTAATATTGGCATCACCCAGGTTTTGATAATTATAGCAGGTAATTTAGTGTTAACAACCGAGTTGAAAACGTAAATTTGCCACCGTAAAGGGTAAAAAAGCTGACGTTTCGAGCGTTAGCCCTTCCTCAATCACTGATAGCATTACAAAGAGTCATGTTTCCTTTTGCTTTAATCGACCATTTAAGTCTGAGTTGTATGTACCTCTACTATATGCTACCAAATGCGTTTAAGACATTTTTGATTCTCAGCTCCCGCACAACGATGCCAGCCCCGAGGTATTCAGTAGTAACACAATTATTTCCCAGGAGTGTGTAATTTCTCTCTGCCTCCTAAAGGTTTCCTTTCTTTCCATGAAAAGGGTCAGATAAGGTCAGAGAAAAATATACCATCCCTTCAGGACTCAACCTGCCATTTCTTTTAGATTTTTTTCCTTCCCCAACATTTTTCTTACCTTATCAACTGAGTTGATAATGCAAATTTGCCTCTGTAAAGAGTTTCAAATTTACCTCATCAACTCAATTGATAATACTAAATTACCCTGTTGCACTCTCCCACCGACGCAGCACCGCAGTTCTTGTAGAACCTTTATTTATAGCTCTTTCTCTCAGTTTACTTGCGATATAATCCACGATAGATTTTGTCAAAACGAGCTGGAGGCGACTGATCTACTTTTTTTTCGAATGGTTTCCCAACATCTGAAGACGTTTACTACGCTGGTAAACCGATAGAAAGTGCGGTCTGTTACTTTAATAACATATATAAACTTCGATTTTCCACAGGTTTACCGGTGCAATCAACGATTGCACCAGAATTTATCAATCTCACGGCTCTGAAACAAGCAAAATGTAGATCATGCTTGTTGCGATATTGAACTTTGTACTTTCGGTTTGTGTCACGCACATACTGGGGCAAGCGCAGTAGTAATAGTGAGAGGATTACACATGTTCGTTGACTAAACACGTTGCAGTCTTCTTGCTTAGTTTTGATAACTCGACAGCAACTGGGTAAAGCTTCTTCAAACTATGAGAATATTTACAAAAATTAGTTTTATTGGGAAATATAAATAAGGTTATCGTCAAAATTACCTGAACATGAGTGTCCATCGCCAGTGTATCCCACTTTACATGTACATTTGTAAGAACCTAACGTGTTACTACAGTTAGCATTCACGTCGCAGTCACTGATGTTCAATTTACATTCATCCATATCTAGAATGTAGAAAGAGAAGCAGTGACTAAGTAACAGCAACTTGAGAGAGGCATCCACGTTAGAACTGATCCAAGCCAAATATTACGATAATGATATCCGCCAAAATATGCTTTATAATATTTCATGATATTTATAATTCATTAAATAACTCATGCAAACTTATAGGACTTACCTTCGTTAACCATATCACAGTAAATCAGTTTTGCTTTTCCTCTCCAAGTTGGATCCAGCCAGTACTTGCCGCTTATGGTGTGTTTACCTTCACTCGCCTTTATTTCGCCACAAGACAGCGCCGGTAATTCAGGGATAGAACCTAACGGAGCTGAAGTAAAGATAGGTTTTACGTTCACTTCCTATTCTTAGCTCTTCCAGGTGAGAAGGAACCAGGCTTAGGATGGAGAAGATTTAAAGAAAAAGAAAAATAAAAAAAACCATCGATTTCTTACCTCTGCCGTTCAATCGCCGGATGTAAAACCACGCGGGTGCTGAAAGGAAATTATCTGGTCTTGCCTCTTTGGTGCGGTTATTTAGTTCACATATTTGGTATTTTCGATTGTAGTTATAGCTTTGGCACGTGATCTCTTGTTCACATTTGACATCGCAGAGGTGAGGGGTCGCCACTGACCATCTTTTGAAGACCGAACACCTGAGAGCCTTTCCTTCTATGTATATATCGGTCCTACATTGATCGTCAGCTGTGACAAACTCCATGACAGAGGCGAAGAGGAGGAATCTTAAATTTTGGAATTTCCACATACTTTTATTTAATCTGCAAATATTGAGGATAGGACACCAAAAGTAAATGTTTAATTCCCGCCTAATTACGGCTTACTTTGAAAAACTGTCCACATGACCCGATGAATAAAAATAAAACTCATAATACAAAATCATGTCGACCAGAGACGAATGGCCCGCCTCAGAATTCACGAGAACGCTTCATAGTAGCTCGACAGGATGCTAATTGGAATGTCAAGAAACAATGTTAAGTACGACTTCAAAGTTCGATCAGAATATCTGAGGTTTTTTGGCTTCTTTCAGCGTTAGTGAGCTGAGAGAAGTGTTGTGAACTCGCGAAGATAGCCTTACCAAATTGGCCGAGTAAAATTTCAAATAGCTGCGGTTCATACATATTTTGTGCCAAACAATTATCTCTTAGTGTGTGTTTCTTCTCCTTTATCTAGTAAAACAGTCCAGTAATCAAAAGTCATATTACAAATTAGGTGTAGATATAATGATGAAAAGGCTCACTTTGAAAACACTTTGTACTAGGGAAACTAAATCCTAAAATTGATGGTCTGGTCAGTCATAAGGCAGCCGTAATTAGTTTGATGTCAAAAATTTACCAAACCCTATTTTGGGATTTAAGCCAAACTTATTCTATGTAACTCTAGGGCTGCTTAATATAAGAAATGCGATCCTCAAACACCTGATTGCCATCGAGTTAAAATTGCTCTCTTTCATCAAGGTATTATAACTATGACTACGATACCAACCATCTGTTTTAAGCCAATGCATAACTTTAACATTAAAAAAGAACTTCATCGTTTCTGTTTTGGCTCCTCGCAAGCAATGAATTCAACAGAATTCGGGCCGGAATTTGAGTAACATAATCGCTCTGTTTGCGATGTTTGCAAACCAATGGCGAAGATACTTGTTTGGTTGATTATAAAGTGAAATTTAATCGGTATAAATTATTAGCTTTTAGGCACGAATTAGGGTTTGGTAAATTTTATCTAAAAACCTACGAAAGCTACTTTAAATTTAGCTCTTAGGAGTGTTTTGATAACACATCCCTATCGTTTTTCCATTTTCCATTGCCTAACTAAAGAAACTCATCCATTAACTCAGGAAAAATATAATTAAACTTGAGGAACGTAAAACTGTCCGTTCTATTTGTCCGAAGTTGTATAATTTGTCTGGAAACTTCGAGAAAATATTGATTATTTGTGATGCAGTTCATTTATGTCAAAGTAAACAAGATTCCATTATTCGCGACTGAGAACGACATACAAAACTTGAAGACACAAATAAAGTTACAATTCGAATTTAAGCTCAGGATCAGGCCAAGTGAATCCAGCAAAATTTTACCGAAATGCAAATAAACTTACAAAATTACAAAAAAAATTTCAAGTTCTTACTTTTAAGCTTGACACCAACAATTCGCCGATCGTGAAGTTCGTTTAAGTTAATGACGCTTCAAATTTGATAGGTTCCTTTCGGTCATCTAACGTGTTCAAGTTCTTTTTATCCAGGTTGCTCCCAAATTATACCACTCAAGAATTTCTCGCGTGTCTTCCAACCCCTTTTAAGTGGTATAATTCTTAAAAGAATTTCTGGCGTTTCTTCGAACCCTTTCGACACCACAAGTGCATGTATAGTTTGTTTTAAAACGAGAGACATAACAGGTACTAAAAGCTATCCATGACTATCATTTGAATACATAAATTTTAAACTAACAGAGACTCGCTCTCCTTTTTTCTGGGTTGTTTGTGTTTTTTTACGCGGAGCTGCTCAATCTTTTTAACATCGTATAAGTGTGACATGCGACTGGACAATACAAGAGAGCTTTCGAGCAAAATTTTATTTGAAATGATTTAATTGAGTTGGAATTGAGTGATTCTAACATTTTCTAATCCTGAAGAGTTTTTCATCTAAATTTGAATTTTAGGTGGTCTGAATTCTGAAATTTCAAACCTCTAAGACAAACTTTGGCGCTTTTTCCATGGACGGGCTTCTCTTGAGAATCTTTATATTCTTGTTTTGTTTCTACTGCGAAGAACAAAAGAAATTGAAAAAAAAAAGCGTCCGGGACATGGTGTTTGGAAGTAGTAGAAAGTTACAGGAAATCGATAAAAAGAAAGAAAAATAAAATGTTTCTCATCCTCTGCTCAAGATTTCAACACTTAAAAGTTTTTTTTTGTGTCGAGCAGCAATACGTCTGTTATGCTGCGTTGCAAACTTAAAATTGGAGATTTGATAAAGACAGTTTTCATCATTAATTAAAATATTCTGTTTGAACAAATTACTTGAAAAAAGTGGTAAAAAGCCCACGTCATGAATCCGTCGACTGAAAAGATCCTTTCGCTCTTAGTTGGAGAAATTAGATATATCGTAGTAGTTCCAACATCTTATCCCATTACATAGCTGCGACGACTGCATAAAAAGAAAATGGATCTGAAGTTTCGCTAACCTCAGGAGAGGGGATTATCTTATCTCAGTTTTTCGGAAAAAATTTTTTTCTTTTTTTTTCAGAAATGAATAAGTATCATATTATCTCCGAATGGTTTAAATGAGACGTCTCATTCTCAGATTTTTAACTTGCTAACGGTAAAGGAAACTGGCTCACCTCTTTTTAGCATGTAGCACGCTTCCTCCACAGTTTTTAGAGGGGAATAAAAAACCCTCTAAAAATGATGCTGTCATTGGCACTTGTAACTAAACAGTAGTTGCCGTCACAATAGTCAATATATCTCATGCTCTTAATAATTTATTTCTTGTTCCTGTTTTGTCGTTGACAATAAAAATGCGCTGTTTTTTGTCTTGAAAAAATTAGAATCCATCGAAAAATGTACGTTGCAACTTTTTGAAGTTGTAAGAGTGGCCTAAAGTGTAACTTGGGGTAAAATAAAACAGAAGGTTTTCTTATAATTTTTTATCAGCCTTAAGATAAAAACAAAGTTCGAGAAATCTTTATAGGGTAATACAATACGCACGCACTTTGCACGGCAGAAAAATAACATGATGTAAAAATAAAATGGAATCACAACTCATGCATTTATTAGCACCAAAAAGGCGTCCTGCATTCTTGAAATATGAATGAAAAGAACCCCTGAAGGTGTTTAATTAAGTTCCATTTGTTTCTATTTTTATTTTGGGAACGAAAAATAAATCATCCAATTTTGCACAACTTTAGAAACTTTGATTTTAAAGCGATCATGGTTTTGATAAGAAAAAAAAAAAAAAAAAGAATTACTGTAACCTCATTGATTTTCCTTTTCTCCTTTCTTCCTATAGATTCTACAATCCGCCACGGCTGGATGCGTTTAGAAGTAATATTTCAATAACCAGTGCGAGGGTTTCATCAGGGTTTACAAACACGAGAAAACTGGCGAGAGCACGAGGCCACAGGCTGAGTGTGTTAATTGTTTTTGAGTGTTTGGAAACCCTGCTGAAACCCGATGGACGAGTTTTTTAAATAGCATCTCAATCGTTCCTCAGGAATAAAATAAAATGGAAATATTCACGAATTTTTCGCATGTTGTCTACAAGTTTGTTGTCACGAAAAATTTTATTGCTATGGTGATTTGTCTTAGAGTAACTTGTGCATCCAGCTTATTTAACGCAAGTGTGGAAGAGAAGCTAATTAGGAACCAGACTGGTCATCAGTCAAACGCTTTATTGAAGATTGGTGAGGTTAAGTCAGCTGAGGTTTCTGAGGTGTTGGCGCCAAAGTGCAGCACCAGCAATGAAGCAATGACTAAGGACACAGAAGATACTGTTAAAATTGGTAATTCGAAGAGTTTTTGTGATCCGTTTAATGCCTCTGCCTACTTTAAGAACTGTAAAATGAATATCAACGGAAACAAGTGAGCAACGTGATAATGCTATACGCTTTCTTTCGAAAATGTCTTGTTACTTCTTATCAGAGAGGGTGTTAATAAAGGTTGTCTATTCATGTTGGTGTCTTTGTCTCAGGTTTTCAAAGACGGGTTATTAATATTCAAATCAAGAAATGAGTTCACTAGAATCTGACGCTTTATCAAACTCAAGGGTTTGATTTAATATGAAACTCATGGATGGCGCGTCATTCAAGTGTTTCACCGGGGTTTCAAACCACATGCACGTGACGAGATTGGCGTGTCTTGGTTGGATGATCACCTTATCAATAGTTATTGAATTTGAGAAGTTGCATTCTTAACAATTTGACTTTCCAATGTGGAAAGACAAATTCTCATTCCTGAGTAATTCTCGAGATTCATGGTACTATCTATCTTATCTTGGAAGTTTTAAATAAATTTTTAAATGCCATAACAAGCGAAAAAACGCTTCAGCTCAATCTGGGGATTTTAAGCCGCAATAACTCTCAAAAATGAATTAAAAAACTCCATCTTTTCATATATTAATGAAAGCAGGAATTTTTGCGAGAAATGGTCAAACAATGAACACGCAAATATTTCCTATAGCCCCCGCACTTAGCAACTTCACGAAGAATTGATTATCATTTTCTAAGAGCTGTTAAGCTAGAACATGTCGAATCTCTTTTAAAAACTTGTGCTCTCAACAAATATATATTGCATGATTTGCAAGAGATAAGAACTACACCTTGCGTCAAACACCACATACAACTCGTTATAATATAGTGTGATTCAGTACTTCGTAGCCCCTTTACGAAATAAAAAGGTTAAGACCCAAATATTAAAAAAAATAAGTTATTAGCTTTCCACCCGTGACCAAAAATTACTGAAAAAGTCCCCGCTCGAAATTCAGCCCATATTTTTTCCTTTTGATTTCTTTCAAGGCACCGCAAAACCTCAAAACTGTCGATGGAAATTAGAACCAAAGTGGAATTCGACCGTCATCGTGTTAAAACAAATACAAAGGCCTTCTATGAATGAAAATCACAGGTGATGTTTTAGAGAGAATCCTTAGGGCTACTGTATGCTTTGTTATAAAATGTGTCGAAGTTTCTTTATGCTCAATAAGATAAATTTTGGCCATGTTTTAAAAGTGTGAGATTTTGGAAAGCGATATTTCACCTCCACGATGCCTGAAGGAAAAAAAAAAAAAAAAAAAAGCAAAACGATGCACCACAAAGGCCTTCTAAATCTAAGCTGATATTATAGAAAATATTCAGTTTTCGTTCCTTTTCTTTATTATATGGCTGTGCGTGTTTACTACAATGACGTCGATTTTTTTTTCCCGCTATAACTTTGAGTCAGATTATAAACTGGCATATTGATGAATTCACCTTGGCGCAAAATTAAAGATGTGAAAGTGTCCCAAAACTTTGCGCCGTAAAGGAAGTCGTAGAAAGTCGTAGGAAGTCAATAAAAAGAAATGCCATTTGAACTTCTTCGTTCTCTGGCCAGTATTTAAAAATTTAAAGGTTTCCTTTTACCTGTAAAGAATATTATCGCCAGATTGACATCTATTATGCTGCATTGCAAACGTGAAATTCGAGAACTGATACAGAGTATTTCCAATGTGAATTAACTAGTCGTTTTTGGACAGATTGTTTGAAGAAAAATGATATAGAGCTCATATTTTGAGTCCGTCGATTTAAAAATAAGTCCCTACTCTGTTAGTTGGAGAATTAGAAATATCAAGTCAAATTTAACATGTTACCCGTCGGCAGAAAATAGGAAAAGCAAATCCTATACAAGGGCTGTAAAACTCGAAACTAAACGCTGTAAGTAAAGCTTTCTTCAGATGTGAGGGATTATCGCATCGAATTCATTCAGAAATTTTTTCACCTTTATCTTTACTCAAAAGGAAGAAGCTGTATGTTCCAAATAGTTTCAATGTAGTTTTTCATTCTTAGAGTGTTCTCTGGTGTTGAAGAAAATTAGTTTACCTTTTAAGATGCAACGCCTTTCCCTTGATGTGCTTATCTAATGGTGTTAACTCGCAAAGTTATCTTTACCAAATTGGCATGACAGGTCCTGAAAGCTATTAATAACCATCATTTGAATAAAATAATCATACTAATAAAGACTCGCTATAATTTTTTTCTGGTTTGCTTGTTTTTGGTTTTTTGCTTTGTGTTTTGTTTTGTTTGTTTGTTTGTTTGTTTTTTTTTAACGCGGGGTTGCTCAATCTTTTGTGATCCTAATACCCTAATATCCTCTGGTCCTAAAGAATCTTTTATTTGAATTTGAATTTTAGGCCATGTAGAGGTGGTCTAAATTCTGAGATTTAAAACTTCTCAGACAAACTATGGCGATTTTCCACGGACGTGCTTTTCTTGACAATCTTTATATTCTTGTTTTGTTTCTGCTGCTAAGAACTACAGGAATTTGAAAAAAAAGGGAATAAGAAATGAATTGTGAAATTATTCCGAAAAAAGCATCTGGAACGATGTGTTTGTCTCAGCCAAGAGACTCGAAGTTTGAAGCGTACTCATTTAGCAGCACTCTCAAGGTCCTGTTCACAGTTCGAGATGTTATCATATGTTCATTCACTTGATGCCCTAGAGCGTTTTTAAATTCGTTCTAGTGAGCTGATTAATAATATAAAAATAAATAATTTTATGTTTGGCGAGTAACCGATTGTGTTTCGTTATTTTTGAGATTATGTTGAAAAAAGTTTTATGTTATATCACGTTTATTTTCTTTCCAACGATTAAGGTCCATCTATTTGCTAATCAGAATGATGAATCCAACTTTTAGTGGTCTGGGCCGAGTTACCTAAGAGCAAGAGTTCGTTTTGTTTACTCCTTAACATGAATCTTGTGGAGATGCAGTCTTTAATTTTTAAAGGCGCATGGGAGATCCAGTGGTGGAAGTATGAAAGTGTTCTTAGAGAGCAAAATTGAAAACTGTACAATACAGTGGGCTTATTTGTTTTTAAGTGACCTACTGTTTGGCTCTCTGATTGCAGAGAACCCTAGCTATCTTACAGGTGTAGGTCTGTATGATGCAATCACAAGCATGTCTTCGATATTCACTTTTGAGACTTAATGTAAACACTTTTGATATTATAGTTAATATGTTTTGGTCACTGAATGTGCACTAGGCCAACGGAGGTTTTTAACGACCGTAAAAGAGGAGGGAAACATTGAAAAAGAGAAAAAGGGAAGGAAAGAGGAAAAACATAGCAGAGGTATAAACATTAGTCTTAGAGGCAGCAAACATGCAAACCTAATTCAGCCTAACTTAAGGCCTCACCAGCTCGGCATAGCTCAAATAAGAACCAGAGTCGAGTGAGACCGAGCTGAAGTATTTTCATCACATAGAAACACTAGACAACAAGCAACGCAAAGGAATTATATCTTAGATATATGAAAATTCACATCAATTTTTTTTTTCAGGTCCTATTTACAACTACTCGTTTCAGTAGTGTTCTTAGCTGCGAGGATCTCCTAATTTCATCTTTCCACCGCAGTGCAAATATGTGAATTTTCATATATCTAAAATCTTCATTCACTTGGATGTTTATTTGGACCCAATTCATTGACCAGCTCCCAGTTGGCTTGTTAGCTCAATTGGTAGAGCGCTGCACCGGTATCGCAGAGGTCATGGGTTCACATCCCGTACAGGCCTGAAATTTTTTTCAGGTCCTATTTACAACTACTCATTTCAGTAGTGTTCTTAGCTGCGAGGATCTCCTAATTTCATCGAATTATATCTTGTTTAACACGAAAATAGCAATTCTTAAATATTCAAGAGAGCTATGGTTTTGTCCTTTAGCTGTGTATTGGAAATCCCCCCCCCCACTTCCTTCCCCCTTACCCCCCTTCCCCCCTTCCCCCCTTCCCTTCTTTCTTTGATTCAAACACTGATAATCAACTCTTGTCTTTCCTTTCCTCGGCCTTATTTGGTCTTAATAATGGATTACTTGCATAATTTTGAATACAAAGCTAATCGTTACTACTCTACTAGAGGAGACAAAAATGAAAAATTTCACAGTGTGGAACTGTGATAAAGAAAATTCTATTTTTATATTAAACCTAGCATTCCAGAGACTAAATATTGACTGGGATTTATTGGTAAAAAAAGCTGTTTACAACTTGGGTTAGATATAAAAGCTCTAAAGACTGTCTTCAACTCATCACAGCTATGAATACTTTTTTTTTGTGTGGTTACGTTGAACCGTTTGGGCTTAAGCCACTGGATTTTTCCTTAGAATGTCTAGAAATTGTTTCAACGCTTTTAACTCCAAGGATCTGGTTATTAATTTTCCCCTCTAGTAACTACACATTTCTTTGTAAATTATTTAGGAGAATTTGGTGTTAAGTCAAAATAACGACTTCTACCTGACAAGTTTGAGTATTACCATTACCTGTTTGCTGGATAATTTAAGTTTGCTCGTATCATTGTATTTTACTAGACCAGGGTTACGTTCCAGGTATTTTTGGCGTATCACGCGGAGCACTGCAATTCATGGCCTATGAGGAGCTGAAGAAAGGCTACAGTTAATATTTTGGAACACCAGTCAACAAGAAGCTGATAAATACTGTCGGTACGCGTCTCTATAGTTGATTGTATACGTCACAAATTGAACCGAGTTAGCAAACCAGAAACTCTTGATCTTAAACCTTGAAAAAAAAGAACATGTGAAGTGCTTTGACTCTGATCACACTAAAAGCTTAAGGTGGATGATTGAAGTGTTGTCATTTATTGGAAAGAAATTTGCTATTGATTGTTAAAGAAATTCTCCTTGTCAGCACCTTTGGAAATGTGCAGAGAACAGTATGCAGAATATGGATACTGATGTTAGGGTGTAAAGGCTTAAGACGAACACATGTAATGGTCACTGGCGAATGTTAAGGGAGAACATGAGAGAGGGAAGGATGGGGAAGCCTGTGGCTTCTCATCTTGGGTAGTCACAACTGACGCCCAAACGACAACCTTTATTACTTGTTGTACACGTGGCTGGTAGGGAGGTAAGAGTAGGATTAGATTTATTTTTCTGTAACCGTGAGTCATCTTGGGAATCACTCTGAGATGCTAAAAAGATAGTACAGTTATTTGTATATGAAGTGTTTGCTCTTGAATTTTAATTTTGCTAATTTTCCTTTTCTTCATAGAATTCAAGTGAGTACCTTGTGATGGCTTTGCGGTCAAAATTTTCGCCGCAACAGCGACATATCCTTATCAATTGGTTAGAGAAAGACTTACGGCTAGAATGGGAGATTCATTAGCAAATTATTAACTTTTTTAAATAGATTGTGTTTTACTTTTAAATGCTATTAGCTTGAAATAAACTTGTAGTTAAACGCTTTAATTAGTTTTTAGGCTGGTGATGCAGTGGTCTCATCGGTTGGTTTGCTGGACGCCAGGTTGATGTGACATGTGCTCGAACCTCGAGCCTCAGGGAGGTCATTTTGTCGCTTCCTTGGGAAAAGCCATGTTAGCCGCACATATCATCCTACCTAGGAGTTCAAATGGGCGCCAACAAAAGGCTAAGGAAACCCTAAAATATGGATGAATATCAAATCTCATGGAGGGAGAGTAGCTTTCACCTTTTTCCACTCTTTCCATTCCTCTCAAGAAACACAAATCCAAGATGGCTGTGGGAAAGCATGGCGCCAAAGTTTTGATCCTGTGCCCATAAAATTAGCCAAAAGCGATTGAATATATCTGGGATCGCAATCTTTTTTTCGAAAATCGCTCTATTTTTATGTCTCCTTCTGTAATTTATTGTTCATAAGTTTTACGTATAACGCCAGCGTGTGACATCATCTTCGTGGTGTAGCAAAACGTCATTCACTTCCTTCTTCCTTCAAACAGATGAAATCGACGGGATAAATAATGTTATCATCATGATTTTATTACCAGGCTTTATTCAGCATCAGTTCCGACTGTTCCATTTATGGAAAAAAAATATATTAACCGTGCAAAGTTAACCGCCCAGAGCGTTTACACATTTTATCAGTAACTTCATTCACCAGCGGCTTGTAAATAAGAATTTTTAACAAAGATAGAAACTACAAGAGGTGCCTTTTGGCAAGTTTTTTATTTATTTATTACTATTTAGTTAATAAAAATTATTGACAAATAAATTATAACATGAATTCTTGCAATTTAATCAAGAAAGATGCATGATATTAAGTTAATTGTGACATTTTGGAAAAAAAATACCTTATTTTCCTTTTTTTTTGTACCTTGCGTTACGATCTTTTTCAATAACTTTCTCCACTTGTTGCTGATTCATTTTGATGCAAAGTTAAAACCAGTTTTGATTGATTGCTCTGTTTTTACTTCACTGGGTTCTGGTTTCATGCATTCGCCTGAACATTTCTTTGTTGCTGTTGTTGTTATTAATGCATGTTCACTAAAAAGATGGTGAAAGCTACTCTTTCGCGATTGCTATCAAGTGAATTTCACATAGCCTTTAAGCAGATGAGTGGTATCGAGAACCTACTACGGCCCACGGACTACACTGCCCGTAACATTTACTCTCATGTTCGTGTTTTAAACCTCAGCTGAAAATAGTCCGTGTAAGGTAAATGTATTTTGAAAGAGATACACAGTTTTGTTAAATAATGAGATAACATTCACGATGCCATGTATTTACACCACTCAAGATGCTGAGCCACATAGTGACCCAGCTCATATCACTTTCCTTTGAAAAGACCACCAACGATTTTTTTTATAATTGATACGTTGTTAATAAACTCTCCTTGCTTTGTCCCATTTGTTTTGTGTTGAAGTATCTTCTTGTAAATTAGAGATAAATGAACATCAAACGACTCGAATACTACTCTTAGAAAAATACACGTAAGATAGCACCCGCTTGTATTCCCTGACTTACGCTAAAATAACCATGGTTTATAATTACAGCTAAAGAAGAAAAACGAAAAACACATAATACGTAAGCTTGAGAGTTTGTTTCTTGCAGATTTTACTTGAAGATTACTTTGAAGATCCTTCGGGCAACTCTCCTCGATGACAGAGGCTATCTGATTAAGATTATAATTCTAATGAAATAAATAATTGTTTGCCATCAAGGTTAAAATCTGCTGATAATGTTTAAGATAGAGACGACAAGTTAACTACGTCACATGTTATAAACCTTATACACATTTACTTACGGAGCGATTTATGAATCTTCTTACTATGCAAAGTATATTTGCTTTACATTCAGTATGTACCACCGAATCGTAAGCTACAAGCAGGTGGCATTCTAAGTTTGTAGATAAAGTAGGATCCACAATTCTTAACTAAAATTATCATTGTATATTTGCAGCCCGTAGGACAATCGCTAAAGCAGACCTTCCTGTAAAATTATACATATATACCTACAGAGCGATTTATGAGTCCTCTTAATACACGGGGTATATTTGCTCAAATTCAGTCTGTACCACAGTAGCGTGAGTTACAAAGAGGTGGATGAAGAAGTTTGTAGATGAAGTAGGATCCACAGTTTTTCACAGAAATTTTCTTCTTAAATTTACAATTGTTATGAGCATCATTACTAAAGCAGACATCCTTGTAAACTTCACCATCTTCCACTGTAGGATAACGACCGTCTAACCAACCTGAGTATTTTGTTCCACATCTGTTTGCTGACACACGTGATGTTGGCATTTTTGTTCCTGCAGCTCCCACAAAGCGATACCATTCCTCAGGGAGTTGGCTATCACACAACTCTGAACCGGAAGGTGTTTCGTAACTTTTTTTTCTATTGGCGTCGCTCAGGTTTTTATAATGATTGCAAAGATCGGCTGCAAAGAGAAATTACAAGGACTCAGGTTATTGAAATCCATGGTTCAAGATCTTTTCTAACGTCTTATAAATCTGACAGCTTGCCAATCAGTTATGAACTTGTACTTAACAAGAAAAATGAATATGTGTAGGATATCATCACTTGAAGAGGCTAAAACAGTGATATTGGAGATCCAAATAAATTCAACAGGTTCCGAATTTGAGCTCCTTCTTTCTCAGAAAGCGCATTAAACTCTAGGCAGACGTAAGGCAGAACCAGTATCGTTTACATATGACAAACTAATAATATGGCCGACAGTGGCCACCTCAGCAGCTTGAGGTTAGACTCGAGCAGGATTATTTTAAATATTATAGCAAAGAGATTAAATTCACCTGTACAGTTATGACCATTTCCATTAAATCCAGGCTGGCAATCACAAACATAGGAACCGTTGGTGTTCGTGCAGGTAGCGTCCACGTGACAAGAGTGATTTCCTTTACATTCGTCAATATCTGAGAAACCATATATATTTGCACTTCAAAATAGGCGGATTCTCAGTCATGTTATTACCGTGATATTCATATATAAGAAAAAAAAATTATTTCTATTTTTGCGTTTCACGAGCTAGATATTTAAAACGGATATTTCATCATGATTATTTCAATTTATCAAGCTAACGGCTCTGAAATAACTGGCTTGTTCTTGCAGTTCCCACAAATCGACACCACCCCCTGGGGAGAAAGTCGTCACAAAACACATGACCAAATTCATGCGGTGTACCATAACTGCTCTTTCTATTGGCATCACCCAGGTTTTGATAATTTTAGCATGGATCGGCTTTTGAAAAAAACATCACAAAAAGATTGTAGTATGAAGGATAACATATTTTTTGTTGACATTTTTTCTCGTCAATCAGTTCGACAAAAAGCAGACAGGACTTGTTTTTTAGAAGAACAACTACGCATTCAATAAATTTTAAAGAAGAATTTGCGTTGGACAATGATGATGTACGAAGTAACTAAAATGAAATTATATCATTATAAATATATATGTTCCTTTTACTTTAATCGCCCACCAAAGCCTGAGTTGTTTGAACCTCAACTGAATTCTACCAAATGCGTTTAAGACACTTTTGATCCTCAGCCCCCACACAACGATACCAGCCCAGAGGTAGTAACTAGTAACCTAATTATTTTCCAGGAGTGTGTAATAACTCTCTGCCCATTAGCATCATCCTGTTATATATAATATTAACGCGAGTCAAAATTCAGTGAAGTTTGGTTGATCCTAACTGCTTTTGTTACAAGGGAATCTTTGAAGGTTACAGATTCTTAAAGGTTTTTTTTAGTTCCATGAAAAGGGTCAGATAAGGTCAGAGAAAAACACACAATCCCTTCAGGACTCAACCTAATCATTTCTTTCAGATTTTTTTTCTCTTTCGCATTTTTTCAATTTTTTTCAATTTTTTTAATTTTTGCATTTGTCATGAATCTGATTAGTGAGATAATTTGTGTTAAGGATACCGAACAAAAGAACAGTTTTTTGATTAGATCAATTATCAATTTCTTTTTGTGCCTAGTTACGATCGTAGTTACAATGTTTATCTTTTTCCTATTGGTTTGTAATCGGATCTTTTAGCGTCACCACGCGCATATAAAAGCTAAGTTAGCGTCCCTTTGAGCCAGAGTTTCGCAAGATTTCGCCTTGAATAGCAGTACCTTCGTTCTTTCCTTCTAAACCTTTGGCACAAGCGGGACCGATATGTAAGTAATTTTGTTAGTTTATTTTCAATGTGTTTAAGTTTAGTTTTTCACCTTGGGCGATAGCGCACATTTGTACTATGTTGTACAATAGTACAACTAATTAACTTGAAATCAAAAGAGTAATTTGAAAGAACTAGACGCTCAGACAGCAACGCCCACATTTTAGTCTTTGAGCTGTTAATCAGCCGCAAATGTTCATCGTGTAGCCGATCTTTGAATCTCGATTAGTTTTAATTTAGCCTTTTATGATTTGTTTATGTTAATTTATGTTAATTGTTGTTATTTTAATCGCGTCATAGAAATACGCACGTAAAGCGTTTCTTTCATGCCTTTCGCACCAATTCAAGTAGATTCATGCATTCGTTATAATATTATTGTAATTTCAGTTTACGATCGTGATCGTCTTTGTGATCGTCTTTGTCTTTGTCTTCGTGATCTGAATAAACACCGTTGACCGTCATCTTGGTTTTCGTGGTTTTACTACTACTACTACTACTACTTTTTGTCACTTTAAAACTCTTTACGGTGGCCAATTTACGTCATCAACTCAGTTGATAATGCTTAGATACCCTGTTATACTCTCACACCGACGCAGCATCACAGTTTCTTTAGAACCTTATATTTAGAACCCCTTTATTCATCACTCTTTCTATCAGTTTACTGGCGAGATAACTCACGGGTTACGTTCTGAGAACACGACAAAAGTTTGTTCTTTCGAGCTGGAGGTTATTGATATACTGTTTTTGTTTTAATGGTTTCCCAACATCTGGAGACGTTTACTACGCTGGTAAACCGATAAAAAGTGCGGTTCATTACTTTAATGACACAAACTTTAATTTTCCATAGATTTACTGGTGCAATATCTTGATTATTATATAAAATTTCATGATAATAATTTCGCTCTCAAGTATATCTTAAGCGTCAACGAAAACGTAGCGCCATGGGAAGTCACTAACATACCTAAGAGTTCCTTAACATGAGAAACCGCTGCTTTAGTCAAAATGAGTTATGAGTTATGCGGCTGAATGGTGCGGCGCTGTAGTCAAACGTGTCATGCTGGACTAATCTAAATATTGTTGCAAAGATATTAAGTTCGCTTGTGCAGTTTTGTCCATTTCCAGAATATCTAAGGTGACATTCACGTACATGTGATCCAAGGGTGTTTTTGCATCTAGCATTCGCGTGGCATGAATGATCTTCTTTACACTCGCCAGTATCTGAAAAACCGTAGATTTATACTTTTTCCTTTTTGTCACATACCAAATTGTAATTACTTTAATCATTTCGAATAATAAGAAAGCGTTTTCTCGTTTTTGTCATCATCATTCCTAAACTAAGGTGATGTTTAGGAATCATCCCTGTACATACGGTACGCATGAGATGATATTTTGAATGAATGACACAGGCATACTTTGAGAAAAAGAACTTAGAGTGTCTAACCTACGACATTCTGATTACTACTTCTGTTATTCTACCTACTCGTGGCAGGCGAGTTAAACTATGAGCGTGGTGATAAACGTCGTGCACACTGCCTGGATATGAATGTCGAGAGAATGTGATGCTTTCGCACAATAATTAAAATGACACATTGAAGAATTCTCTCCTGCGCAACATTAAAGAAACAAGGTGTTCGAAAACCTTGCGTCACACAGGAAGCCGTAGAAGTTGTAGAAAGTCGATAAAAATAAAGAAAATTTAAACTTTTTTCATTCTCTGCCCAAGATTTCAACATTTAAAGGTTTTCTGTGTCGAGCAGCAACAACCGACTCACGTCTATTATGCTGCATTGCAAAATTAAGATTGGAGATTTGATAAAGACAATGTTCAGCATCAATTAACATATGCTTTTTGAACAAATTACTTGAAAAAAGTGAGAAAAGGTTCACGTCGTGAATCCGTCGAGTTAAAAGATCCTTTCTCTTTCTATTAGTTAGAGAATTAGAGATATTATAGCAATTCCAACATCTTATCCCATAACATAGCTGCAAGGACTGTATAAAAAAAGAAAGAAAGAAAAGTTTATCTGAAGTTCCGCTGACTTCAGGAGAGTGAATCATCCGATCTTAGTTTTTTCGGAAAATATTTTTCCTTTTTTTTGTCAGAAAGGAATAAGTATCATACTATATCCAAATAATTTAAATAAAATGTCTCATTCTCAGATTTGTACCTTGCTATCGTCAAAGAAAACTGACTTACCTTTTTCAGAATGAAGCACGCTTCGTCCAGAATTTTTAGTGAGGAATAAAAACCCTCTGAAAAGGATGCTGTTATCGGCACTTGTTTTTTGTAACTGTAGTTGCTGTCTCAATAGTCAATATCTATTATGCCCTTAATAATTAATTTCTTGTTCCTGTTTGTCGTTGATGAACCTTCTAAAAACGATGCTGTCATCGGCACTTGTTTCTTGTAACTGTTGTTGCTGTCACAATAGTCAATATTTATCATGCTCTTAATTTTTAATTTCTTGTTCCTGTTTGTCGTTGAGAATAAAAATGCGCTATTTTTTTGTTATAGTCTTTAAAAAATTTGAATCTGTTGAAAAATGTTGCAATTTTTGAAAGTTGTATGAGTGTTTAAAATGTAACGTGGGGTAAAACAAAATATGATGATTTTCTTAGAATTTTCATCAGCCTTAAGATAAAAACAACTTTAGAGGAATGTTTACATGATGAAATCAGTCGGGCGCCCTTCGTAGGGTAGAAAAATAACAAAATGGAATCACTCTGTTTTGTCCCTCACAACACATGCATCATTAGCGCCAAAAAGGCGACCCGCATTCTAAACGTGTTTAATTAAATTCGGCTTTTTCTTTTTTTGTTTTAACGTAATAAAAATGCCTGTTTGCGACATCATCCAAAATAAAGAACGGCTTTGCACACCATGACAACTTTGGAAAACTTTAATTTTTAAGCGATCGTGGTTTTGACAAGGGACAAAAGTAGTGTAATTTCATTTATTTTCCTTTTTCTTCTTCCTTTCCATAGATTTTACAACCTGCCACGGCTGCATGCTTTTAGAAGTTGCATTCTAAAGTGCTAGAAGTTGTTTGCAATATTTGACTTTCCAAATGTGGAAAGAAAACTTCTCAATCCTGAGTAAATCTCGAGATTCGTGGTACTATCTTTCCTATCCTGGAAGCTTTGAATAAATTTTTAAATGTCATAACAACTAGAAAGACGCATCAGTTTGATCTTGGGTTTATAAGCCGCAACAACTCTCAAAAACGAAACCAAAAAACAAAAAAGACCAAAAAAAAAAAAAACAAGAAAAAAAAACAAACAAACAAACAAACTCCTTCTCTTCATATATTAACGATAGCAGGAGTTTTTGCCAGGAATGATCAAACACTGAACACGCAAATATTTCCCATAGCCCCCGCTCTTAGCAACTTCATTAAGAATTAATTATCAGCTCTTAAGGGCTATTAAGCTTAAACATGTCGAACCTCTGTTCAAATCAGGTGTTCTCAAACAGTAGAGCATGATTTGCTCGAGATAAGAACTACACCATACGTCAAAAACCACAGACAACTCGCCATAATATAGCGCGATCCAGTACTTCGTAGCCTCTTTACGAAATGAAAAGCTAACACCTACATTTCTCAAAAAGAATTTATTAGCTTTCCACCCGTGACCAAAAACTACCTCCCTAAAGTCGGTATTGATCTTGATGCATTAAGGACATTGATATTCAATATTTATCATTATGATGAATACATTAGTCGAAGATGCTACATGTTTACTGACGAATATTTTAGAGAGGATTTCAGAACTACACTGAACAGAGGCCGTTTTTAATATTTATCGTTTTGCCATTGTTAACAAGATTTTGTTCCTGTTTATTCCTCAGTATTAAAAATAGTCTACTTCTTTTAGTCACAAAACCGTCTTTCATCCGTTGACCATGATGATTTTTTTTATTTAGTAATATAACAATGTAAACCTGGAGAGTTACCGAGTATACCTTGGCTTCCTTTCTTCAGAATAGTGGGAGTTTAGTTGCCACATTGTAACATGTAATGTTGTTACGATGGCATTAAATATTCAGGCTCATGTATGAATTTTCAAAATTGTTAGAAGTTTTATGTCAGTCTATAACGCTTTCCAAACTATTTTATGTTTTCCAAAATAGCATTTTCCTTGGAAAATGGACATTTTTTTCATATCGATTCCGCATAATATCGTGCTTTTCTTCCAGACTCAGTAAAACGTGGGCTTCAAAACAGCAATATTTAGACAGAAAACAAGGAGATTTCTCCTATGTAATAAAAGCAAAATGTTTCAGTGTTCACGGATAAAGAAAATGTGTTGCTTTAGAGGACAAAAAGTTTTTATAAAATTCAACGGAAAGTTAAATGCTGGTTTATTTAATTCATACAAATATTCAATTTTTAACTGCGTTGGTTGTTAACTCTGGTCAAAGAGGACAAAATGCTCTGCACGTTCAAGAATTGAACGATGTAGTCTGATTTTAACCCTTAGTATGTTGAAGCGTTTTTTTTTTTTTTTTTTTTTCAGTTTTATTGAAAATGTTGTAACGTCCAGAGCTGCAGAAATTCTGGCATGGTACTAGATGTATGTGCCCGTCAGGGAGACTTGATTGTCAGCTCTCAGTAACTTTTTAACCTGAAATTATGTATGTGACTCTCCACGGGGTTTCAGGGAATAAGGTGAACGCACACACACGGCACGTTATAACACGCTCGCACGCTAATGGCTTGACATACTTGCCGTGAAGATATGCGCATAAAAACAATAGATTTGGAAAGGGTGTTCGTAGCCATTCTTCATATCTGGCCAACACGCTAAGTTCCTTTGTTTCCTTAACAGACCAGCTTATCTTGTACAACCCAGCTCACTTTGTTTCTTGTGTTTGTCAGCTTCTTAATTGTGAGAATGGTATTTGTGAGGTATATTACTCGCAGAATATAGTCGAAAATAAAGATCTTCTGTCCGATCCGAAAGTTGTAATTTTAAAAGAAACATTCATGGCAAATCACGGCTCTTTTCTTCAGGATTTTCACAAGGAATTCAATCAGGACGACGAGTTTCATAAGGTCCAGAGGAGCTCAGTTTGAAGACATGAATTACTTTTCAAAACTCAACTCTTATCTTAGAAATAAGAGAGATGGTAATTAAAAAAAAAAAAAAAAAAAATTTTAACTCTTACCTTGTAAACTATAAATCCTTATCGCTTCACACAGTCAATAAGCCCAGATTTCCGGCTCTTTGTACAAATCGAAAGCAACTTTAACTTTAAGAGGCGTGTTATAAAATTGGCACGGTCACTGTGTTGTATCGTGCAAAGTTGCGAGCAAGATCTCCACACGTTCTTTGCTTCTACCGTGCGAAGCAAGACAATGGCTGCCAGTTGTAAATTAATGAGTTAAGTAACTAACACGCAGCTCACGTGTTAAAGCTAGTTCTTTTGAAGTAGCGTGTGAGCGTACCGTGTGCGTGCGTTCACCTTATTCCTTAAAATCCCTTGGAGGGTCACATATTTCACCTCTGCTCAAAAACGAGTGCCCTCAAACATTTCAGAATGATGAGTTAACTTACTAAAGAAAAGTCCCTGTGGTTTCGTGACGAAATATTACGAATTTGAAATTTTGATGAATGAAGGACGTTTATTTTTTTACCATTTTAGAGAATGGAAATTGCCCGAACCTCCTTATGAAGTTTCTATTGTAGGAAAAACGCCCCGTGGACGCAAATCACAACCAACTGAGAACACCTGTGCGGCTTGAAGATAAGTAAGTCCTGAAGATTGCACTTCTAAAAACAGAAAAGTAGTACGATCGGTCAAGCAATTTTAACTTTATCCTCTTACCATTTATTCTCATAATATATTTTTTGACTAAACTCAGTTATCAAAAGTGGAGAGAAAAGTTGTCTCGAATCATTTATCCAAACTGAACCTCATGATTCTGTTTTTGCCGAAACTTACATGAACGCTATCAATAGCTTTTTTTAAATATGTATGTTAGTCTTAAAGACCGCTCCGCCCTCAACACGTACAGAAAGAGAGCAAGTTCCCTCACGACAGTATGCCCACTTTTGTTTTTCCTTTTGATTTCTTTCAAGGCAACGCGAAACCTCAAAAGCGTCGAGGGAAATTAGAACGAAACTGGATTTCGACCATCATCGTGTTAAGACAAATACACAGGCCTCCTGTGGATGGCAATCAAAGGTGATATTTTAGAGATGTGCTTACCTGG